AACTAGTCACGATTTAATTGTTATCACTCCCTGTGAATTCATAGAGATTCCAGTGGCAAATATCACCGAATGTGGAAGTCCTCTCTTCAAGTGAGGGAAAATGACACAAAAGAGTTACTACAAAAGTAAAAAGAATTGTGAATGTTGATATGGTGTACATTGTACATTATGTAAAGGTATTTGGTGAATGCCAAAGGCATAAAATTTCAGGTATTGCTTTTTCACGACAAATTATATAACAGTAATGTTTTTAAATGGGTGATCGGAAAAATAATGAGTATATTGTCCAGGCAGTACCAGTTTATGTACGGCATATGCAGACAGTAAGAGGAACTGTAACCATTACCGGCTAAGTAAGTTTTATGCTTATGACTTCTTGTACTTGGATTTTGTGTCATTTCATTACAAGAAGGGCAATCAAAGATGCAATAGTTGTTGCAATATATTTTTGAAGGCAAACTTTTAAGTCTGCCTATGCTGGATAACAGCCATGTCTATAAACTGAATGTAAAGCAAACACACTGTCAAAGATGGAGCAACCCCAAAACCAGGAAACCGGAATCCGGAATCCGGAATCAGCATTTCATATTTTCATTTCATATTCTTGGCAGCCATGATATTAAAGCAATTTATAGAAACGCTACACGTTTACTTCCGTCTGCTTCTCGCTTGCTAACAGATCAGACCACATGTTGTTAAAAGATGCTAAAAGACTGCCAGAAACTCATTGCAATAGCTTGTTGTTATTGTACTACTCACTAGTCTTCTCAGAGCAATTTGATCTAGAAAAGAAGCGCGCTCTCACCAGGGCCAGGTTGAACAAAAGATGGGTAACTTAGTCTGTGACCAGGCTCTCGTGTTTGGGCCGGGAGCGTGAACGGCAAAGCCGCATGAAGGCACTTGGTCACATGCCAATGCAGAAAAACACTAGACACCTATTTAGTCTGCTCAGACACTAGAGCCTGCTCGCAGGCTATGAGTAACTCTATCCACCCGAAAAATCACTAACCCTGACTGGATAATGATTTAATCAATGGATAGTCTTATCCAACTTTTGAACAACCGAGCCAGATGTATAGCTAAGGGTTGTTCAAAACTAGTCAATAATTTTTTAGCAATTGCTTTTGTTGGCTGAAGTAAAGCCAAGAAAATAAATAGCAACAAAATAATTTTCCTCATATTTATTTATTAGACATTGCTGAAGTGAATTATATCTATCATCATTCAGAATATCTGGATTCCGGATTCTGGTTTCTGGTTTCGGATTCCAGATTCCGGATTTCGGTTTCCGGATTCAGTGTTTTAGGGTTGCCCTTGATTATGTATGTGCATGTTAATCTTGAATAATCTGAAATTTCAGAGAGTTTAAAAATATATCATATCTTTGATGGTTCTAAGGTGGAGGGCTGTTACATGTACATGTAAATGTCTCATGCACGATTTTTCACTTGTTATGATTCAGGTGCCAATAGTTTCTGTATCTGTTGGTGTGCAACAATCTACACCAATATTTCAACCTAATAATGAACAGTGTATATTAAGTAACCAAATTATGCTTTTTTTGGTTGACCAATGCTACTACATAGTAATGTGATTTTAAAGCGCACAAATTTACAAACATGCCCAGTGTCAACTTGTCAACTATATGAACTGGCCAGACAGTCTAGATTACAAAATTTTCTGAAAGGTGAGATGTTTCTTAAACATTATTTTGTAATAAATGATTTCTGAGACATTGTTTTCTTCAAGAAAAGATTCATACCCCACATGGAGGGTTTTTTTTCTCTATTAGAGCTCTCTCTTCCTCATACTTTAATTTTGAATTTCTAAAGACTGGCCATGAATGGGTGTTGGGTGTGACTATCTTCTGGAACTGCACATTCAGATTTAGTAAGCAAGAACATCAGTATTTATCCTGACAAACTCTGATTTTCTTTTGGAAGCTGAACTCATATACAGTTGTATGTAAAACCAAACAGCCTGGATGGCCCTTTGATTGGGACTGTGCACATTGTTGTCACTTGCAATGTTCCAGTTTCTTGTTTAAAGCAAATTGCATTTGCTCTCGAAAGCAAGTCGCCAAGTTCATAACAGTTATATAAGTTTGCTTTACATCTCAGGGCAGAGCCTGCCACTGTGAAAGTTGGGTTACCAAGCCCTAGCATTTGATTCACTACTGACACTCAGTAAACAACTAACAATAAAGTACACTGTATATCAAAGAAAGGAATGTCATCTGTTGATGTGCAAAGATTATAATAAATTACAATTGGCATGCTTTTATGTGAATAACAGTGGTGTTTAGGTAGCAGCTACAGTACGATTACATGCCTGTTCCTGTCAGTCAATCTATGAACAGTTTACACATGGGCTGCCTTTATTAAAACATCACAGATTTTCAAAGCAACCATGGCCTGGTGAGATATTTCTGAGGAAATATGAATTTAAGGTCCTTATGATTGCTTATAGGCATTGACTTTTATTGTAAACAATATCTTACTGAGTGTATTTTTCTTGTGTACTAATTGTTGTAGAACACAGAGATCACTATTATGACAGAGATATTAATGTGTGAAAGGTTCTATAAACAAATGCATCCGGGAACAAATTAAAATCAAATCATGGATGCAGCTTCTGAGAGATTCCCAATATTAATGGAACATACACTGTAAATACATGTAAAAGAGTTCAATAATTCATTACTTAAGATTGTAATGCTTTGTTTGGTTTCTCTGTATTTACAGACAAATTAATGGAATTATAATTTAAGCACCAAGTTCATTGAATAAACTGACTTAGAAGTTGAGTTCTGCTACCCATCCTGTGTGTAGTAATATCATAGCTGCAACATTGTGACAGATACACTGTATTACATTATGAAGAAACACATATATTAACTAATTATTTAAAGTGCCGGTTAAATTAATCAGAGATAATTTACTCATGGTTTATTTAAATAATTGCTTTTTTGGCTTTCAAATGATATTTATTGTGCGTTTAAATCAATTTTGTGATAATCTGCATTGGACATGGCATAAATTAATATTTTGCCAACACGACATGGAGAACTGGGTTTTTAGCAAAGTTGCAGGATTAGTATTTTTGTAGAAAGAAAGGGTTGAGAAATTTGTGACATTCTACAGACAGCCTTGCCATTCACAATGTCCAATAAGGTTAATTTTGTTCCCTACTGTTGTACAGATAGTGTTCTGCAATTTATGAATTATTTCAATCTGTTGTTAAATGATTGCCTTATAACCCCATGTCCGGCTTTGGTGCATTTAGGATATTCATGTATTGTTTATCATTTTGCTGTAAATTAAGTAATGAGTCAATCAAAACATATCTTGGATATGCGGGGCTCTTCTGACAAATGTACCTATGCCTCATAACCTTTGAGTGCATTTGGTTGTGTAGTGCAGACAAAATACATGTACATAATATAACTTACTCTCAGCTTACTTATAATTCTTGGTATAATTTGATCATAGCAAAATTAATTAATGGAACCCAATAACAGCTCCTGTAGTCCACAATCTCAGTCGATACAAAGAACAAATCACATTGAAATTGAATAATAAAACTATTATTAGAAGCCTATACAAGTATTCATGATCAGCAAAAGATATCATAATTACCGTTCATGCCAGAGTGATTTTGCTTATTGCAAACCCTTCCAGCAGGAGGAGACTCCATACAATAGTGAAGATGGCTAAATGTATCTTTGGGGACAAGTTAGAGAACAAACCTCTCCAACTTTTCACATATATATACTGTTTTGGTATTTTTGCGAGATTTCATTTGGTAGAGATTTAGGGACTGAGTATATTGTAACCATGCATTTCCATCAGTCCCCAGACCAGAAAAATGTGTAAGCTTCTTTTGTGTGGGAGTCCCCATGTTAACTAAGAAAGAATATAATGATTAATGATGATTAATAACAATGCCTTGTCTTTCTGTATAAGGTAGGAAACAACAAGAAATGTCACCAAAAACACACAGAAGACAGTTCTGTTAGGTGATCAAGATTTTCGGTGGCTTCCCAGAAATTCTTGAAATAATGGCTCTATATTTCATTATCACACCATCTTACACCTCGATCTGCTGATCTAATCCTAATTCCGGCTGAAACTATTAAATCATTCGCAATTTACCTCGCATACATTTTGAATTATTTTCAATGGTAGCAACATTCCAAAAAGTAACTGAGGAGCTCCACTTTTAGGTTTGGCTAAATCTATATATTCAATTTCACGCTTTAGCAAATATGTCGCTCGTGGATTGATCTGTGCTAACACTTTTTGAAACTTACCGCTCTTTGTGCGACCTTATGAGGTCATTCGACAATTTTGAAATTTTTACGTCTAATAACGGTCTGTTTCTTTTCTTTAGCCTTCTTGGGAATGGATCAATAACTAACAATATTTCTAAATTTAGCCTCTTTACCTACGAAATACGTGGAAGAAAATGTCTCCATTTCGAAGACAACTTCCATCCTCTGCACATTAAATAAACCATAAATAATAGGGTATTTAAAAGATAGTAATGCTGCGGCGGCAGCATTTTGAGTTGACATATCCCTGTGAGAAGGCGTGACATGTTTATAAATCTTTTGAAGGCAAAAACTTGCACTCGTTTTTCAAAAGAAAACCTCCTCTTTAAATGAATTAATAGGGTATGTAGAATCGACGGTTTTCCGTGAAATTTGGCCGGAACACGCACTGATAGATACGGAACAAAAAGTTGTCGGCGAATTCTTTTATTTCATATACTTTTCCCGTGGCGGTCTCTAACGCAACACGTTACGCGAATTTTTGGATAGTGGAACTTGACAGATCTATTTAACAAATAGATTCCATGTTGCCGTGCGTCTGTTCAGTAATAGATCACAGGAGCCGTCAAAATGTGTTAAGAACAGTGACACACTCGGCTATCGCCTCGTTTGCCACTTGTTTGTTCTTACCACATTTTGACGTCTTCTGTGATCTATCTATCTATCTGCGGCATATTCATTTGATAGTGACATATTTAATGTAAAATAAGATAAACGTCGAAGTAAGCTTATTGTACCTCAAATATCTCGTACATTTCGTACATTTACCTTAACATTCTAATCACAGATATTTGCAATTGCAACAAAAGCTTGTCTTATCTATAAATAGTACCTTTACATTCAATGGGTTTTCCACTCCGTTTTCCAGGCTGTAAGCACGTTCTAGTCACATTTCGGCCCTCCCCTTCTTTCCTGCTCATGACAAATCCAACTTTACAGGTAAACTTGCATTTCGATCCGTAGTCGGTGTTACAAGAGAACGGTTCTATTAGACTGGCTCCTTCCGGGGTCTCCAATGGCACACAGGCAACAGCTTTAAAAAAAAATATTAAAAACTAGATTATGAGCTAGTAATTGATGTCATAAAATAGGTACCGGCTTACTTTTTTAGCAGAATTCTAAACAAATTTCTTTTAAATAACAATTTCCAGTTACTTCTCATCAAGTAGTATTAAATTTCACGCTTTAGCAAAAATGTCGCGTGTGAATTAATCTGTCTAAGACTTACAGCTGTTTGGGAGAGCTGATGAGGTTATTCGACAGTTTTGAAGTTTTAAGCAGGTTACTTCAAACCTTCGCGGAGCTACCGTTTCCAAATTTTCTTTTCTCTAACCAAATTAATGTTCGTTATTCAAGGTAACATTTTCCAGAAAACGAAAATAAAATATTAAAATGCGCGCGTGTTATTGGGGAAAAGAGTTTTTTTTTTTTCTTTGTCTTTTTTTTTTGTTTTTTCTTTTTAAATAAAACTTAATAAACCGTCAAGGTGTCATAATCCCCAAAAGGCATGGACTCCTCAGCGACCTTTTCGCGGCAAACGGCTTAATCCAGAGATCCTGTATCAAATACTTTCAATTTGAGATTTCATGTCCGTCAAAAGTGTCTTTTTGCAATCACGCTTCGGNCTCGTTTGAAATTGAAATTGTATGCGCGCGCATCAATTTTTTATAAAGTTATTTTAAGTTTTTAAAGTCAAGAAACTGTTAATGTCCTTCATTTAGTCTTCTCAGGAATTTAATTATCCATTTGCACCAAAATGACTTGTTCCTTGAAAACTTTGAAAAATAAAAAAAAAATAAAAAAAAAAGAAGAAGAAGAAGTTGCTATTTCGTAGACGACCAGCCACTGCACCAATGGCTGATATTGTACGATCACGCAAACAATCAGGTTGCAGCATTTGCATTAGTGTTCAAGTGGAATTCTACTAATGACTGATAGCTAACTATTCACAGCAGTCCCTTCCATGCTCGAATACGATTTGGAGAAAAGTGGCGACCGCGTTCACAGAGACGTAAATGCAAAAATGAAAATGAGGATTGGGTGAGGGAGGAAAACAAAAACCGAAAGAAAAAGAAGAGAACGCGGTTTAAAGGACGCGAGGGTTGAGCGTGAAAGGAAGTAGCCAGTACTAAGGATCTGAGGTAGAGAACGCTAGTTACGTGAAAGTGATATGAATACATTAGAGAGTGGGATCTTATACTCGTTCTGCAACGGACTGGTGCGAATAGTGGGACTTTAAAGCAATCACCGGTTGACGTAATGCAATACCATAGAAACCCCGAGAAATTTTCTATACTCCATTGAAATATAAGAGCACGCGCCATCTAATTTGCTCTCGGTTGTGTCAGAAACCCTTGAGAAAAATTAAGTCACCCGATTTTGAACGCATACCTGCCCAACGCCCTCAGAGCAAATGTTTATTCATACTTCTGTCGCAAATAAAAACAAAGCACAAAACTTCCTGTTTACACCAGTATTACCGGTTTTAAAGGCCTATTAACCGATTTACGCGCGCGCTCGCGAGCGTTCTAAGGAGGTGAAATTTTACTTCCGGTTACTTACGTCAGCCTGAGCGCGGAAAATTAAAACAACTCGATAACTTCCAAATCCCCTTTCATTTTACATGTTTTTCTTTGTGTTTCACAAAATGCAAAGTAAAAAAAGTACAAGCAGAGACAAAATAAGAAAAAGACAGAAAAACAAGAGCAATGGAAAGAGAAAAACTAACTCCGTGTGGCTTTGTTTGACCTTACCGAAGTGCACTGGAAGTGTAAATTGCGCACGCGCTGATAAGGTTACTTCCAATATATATCGGGCGCACTTTCGGTTTCTTTAAATGCTAAAGGAAAGGCGGTTTTTCATTAAATCCAGCCTTTTTCGACGGATTTCGATCAAAGCCAACGTTGGAAAGATAGCTATGAATTCCTTTTTCAAAATCATGCTTTTTTCAGAAAATTACGAATTCTCTCAAAATCTGACCTTTTAGAAATGAAACAAAATCTATGCTAGCGTAATGAGGATTTAAATTAAAATATTGAATCAATGAAAAAAATCCTGATAAAGTAATTTGCCTGGGAGTCTTTGCGTTTTTTCAGTATTGGTCACATGACCATGGGCATGGCCTGATGACGTCATCACTAGTGTTACTAATCATGAAAAAGTTAAAACACATGAAATGACTCTAAACTAACTAAAAATGATGAGGTTATATGAGTATAAATTTTCCTTAGCAACGGTTCGAAAAGATCGGTTAATGGGCCCTTAACTGGCCTGCTGTGTTTCTTCAATTGTACTGCGCGCTTTGCTTAATCACAGAGAAAAATGTGCATGGTTAGCAGGACTTGTAATTGAATTAATTATGTCCTGATGGCTTTGTTATATTGGGCAGACGAATGTTTCACTAGAAAACACGCAACGACAGCCAAAATCGGTGGCCTTCTACCCATTTTGTCAACTTACCTGCATAAACGTTCATAGATTGCCTCTGAATCAGTATAAGCACTACAGATAGCGCGCAAATCCACAAGATGTCAATCATGGTAGTCGCAATTGGCACCTGATTACACAATAAGACTTATCAACAGTATTAACACAAACAATTCAGTTAGCAACATTTCACAGCCTTTCAAAATAAAATCGATACAAAGATTTCAAAGCTCATTAAACCGACCCGACGCGACTAGTATACTTTGCAGACAATCGATCTTACGTTTCCACCACGTAATACAAGTCATTAACTAATATGGGGTTCGCATAAATGCCAAATCTTAAGCGAAAGAGCTAAGTTTCCTTCCAACAGAAAAATGCAACTGGCGTTGACTACTTGAAACAGCAATGTACTTACCCAAAACGGAGTGGCAGATTTCAAGAAGACTGAAAAGCAAACTATTCCGACTTTGCAGCAAACCCAGCTTCAGTAAAATGTGATTGAAAAAATATGTGACTTATTTCCGACGAGCAATCAATTTCCAATGAAGCATGCGATATTTTTTTAGGACGGGACTTTCCCTTATTATACATACGTAGTTGTGTGTCTGTATTTGCATTATTCTTATAAGTACTGTTACATAACAAGTTTCTAGTATAATATTTAGAAGATTTGATTGTTTAAGTTCAAGCACGTTTTCAGTAATTATATTGCTTCGGGAGCAGAAATTTGCGTTGGGTGTTATAGCCACATCCTGTGACGAATATTAACAAGAAGATCTGTTAGATCTTATAACCGCGCTTTTAAAATTTAACTGTTTGCTCAGCACTACCGTCGGAACGCAGTGCACATTCCAAAGCAGTCATTGATGATTCTTTTCTTACTATGGACATCACATCACTTGATCAACACAAACTCTATTATTGCACCATCAGTCGTAGCCGTT